AGCCAGGAACTCATCAACGTGAGTGAGTGGTGGACTCCTTTCTTTCTTTTTAAATTTGTTTACTTGGAAGGCAGAGTGACAGAGAGAGAGAGAGAGAGAGAGAGAGAGAGAGAGCTCTTCTATCTGCTGGTCCACTCCCCAAAGGCCAGAGGCAGGAGCCAGGAGCTTCTTCCAGGTCTCCCACGTGGGTGCAGGGGCCCCAGCACTTGGGCCATCCCCCACTGCTTTCCCAGGTGCAGTAGCAGGGAGCTGGATTGGAAGCGGAGCAGCCGGGACTTGAACCTGTGCTCCCATGTGGGATGCTGGCGTCACAGTAGCAGCTCCACCCGCTGCAGCACAGAACCAGGCAGGCTTCCCTGGAAGTGGCCTTGGGCAGGAGTGCCCGGTTTAAGGGAAGATTTAAAACCTCACTTCTCGGGGTGGGCATTTGGTACAGTGGTTAAGATGCTACTTGGGTGGCCGGTGCTGTGGCATAGTGGGTTAATCCCCCACCTGTGGCGCCCGCCAGCATCCCATGTGGGAGCCAGTTCGAGTCCCGGCTGCTCCACTTCCGATCCAGCTCTCTGCTGCGGCCTGGGAAAGCAGTGGAGGACGGCCCAAGTCTTTGGGCCCCTGCACCCGCGTGGGAGACCTGGAAGAAGCTCCTGGCTCCTGGCTCCTGGCTTCGGCCTGGCCCAGCCCTGGCTGCTGTGAGAATTTGGGGCATGAAACAGTGCATAGGAGCGCTCTCTCTTTTTCAAAAAAAAAAAAATGAATGTAAACTTTAATTTAAAAAACCCAAATCTCAGAACGCTCTTGGCAAAAACACCTTGATTGAGCGCCTGGCTGGTTCTCCTAGCGCTTGGAGGAGTTGCAGGAACGAATGTCTCCACCTGAGGGCGCTGCTGAACAACCACACAGTCTCCGGGGAGTACTTCATGGGGAAATGGAATTTTAAAGAATTTTATATTGATGCAAAGAAATATGAATTTTTGAAGTCCATGCATTTTTTCCCTTAAAAAGGGATTTATTTAATTTTTAAAAAGAGCGATAGAGAAAGAGAGACACAGCTTCCATCTGCTGGATCACTCCTCAAATGCCCACAACAGCCAGAGCTGGGCCAGGCTGAAGCCAGGAGCCAGGAGCTCCATCCGGGTCTCCCACGTGGGTGGCAGGGACCCAAGGACTTGAGTCACCCCCTGCTGCCTCCCAGGCCGGGCATTAGCAGGAACCTGGAATCAGAAGTGGAGCTGGGACTCGAACCCAGGCACTGTGATATGGGGGCGGGGGCACTGGAAGTCAAATGCCCACCCCCTTAGGAATGCTTTCTGTGGGGGAAGAGATGATTGGCACCAGAAAGGGGGAGGGAGGGGATGCTGTGCAGGCAGCGGGGACAGCAGGTGCAAAGGTCCTGGGGCTGGAAACCGTGTGGTGCACTTGAAGCCGGGGCAGGCGCGTCTGCACAGCTGATGGGTAGATGCCTCTCCTCTTCCTCCCGCAGACCCTGTAGGCAGTAGAGACTGGGGGGGGGGAGAGGGGCTCCCCACAGGCGCCCTAACCCACATTCCCTGTGTTGTAGAGAGAAGCATCCTGTACACAGAACTCCTGGCCAGGCTCCATTTCTTCTCCACCTCGCACCCAGCGCTGGTGGGACAGCTGTGCCATCAGGCCCAGAGCTGGTTCCGGGCGTGCCCACACCCCGTGCTGGTGCCCCTGGCAGGGTTCCTGCAGCCCCCAGGAGGTCCCCTCCGCGCCACCCTCACCGGCTGTCACAAAGGTGAGTGGAGCAGAAGTCCTCCTGGGGCCCCGAGCCGCCTGCGGCCAGCGCCTGCTCTCTGGGGCTCCCCTCTGTCCATCAGGAGGCCCCGGGGTCAGTGCCCTCGGCCCCTCCCCCAGCGTCAGTACAGCCAATGAGCGCACAGCTAGGGGACATCCCGCCCCCCAAGACTGCCCCTCAAGGAGCTTAGCACCATCTTACGGGGAACTGGAAGCTGGGGTTCCGTGCCCGGCTGGCCCCAGAGAGGCTGCTGGGACCGTGCACGGCCCCTGGGACCACACAGTGTGGGGGAAAGTGGATTTCGTTTTTGGCATCCATTTGTCTTCCAATTTGTCTCCCATCTGTCCATCTAACTTCCCACCCAACCTCTCCACCTGCCTTCCACCACCCATCCACCCGTCCTCCCTCCCTTCCGTCCATCCCTGTCCTACCCCGGGGGAGGAGTGACGACACAGAACAGGGTGCGGGATGAAGGGGGGTGAAGTCACCCAGCGCCCAGAGCTCTCACTGAGGAGGTCGTGTGCCCAGAGGGAGGGCCGTCGGAGCTCAGGGAGGCTGATTCGGGCGCTTGGCGTGGATGGAATGTTGCCAGGGAGCGTCTGCTGACCTTATCGTTGTTTGTCCAAGCTCCGGCTCTGTTTTGCAAGAGCTGGGACAATCTGCCTTCAGCTTTCCTGACCCGAGATCTTGGCGTCCCGGTTCCTCAGGTGTCCCCAGCACAAGTTAACCTGTTGCTGATGCCCGCTCAGTCCTCCCTGCCCCCATCCCTCTCCTGTCCATCCACCCTCCCACCCACCCATCCCCCATCTATCCACCCTCCCACCCACCCATTGTGTTTTCGTGTCCCATTATTCATACTTTTTTTTTTTTTTTTTTTGGACAGGCAGAGTTAGACAGTGAGAGAGACAGAGAGAAAGGTCTTCCTTCCATTGGTTCACCCCCTAAACGGCCACTATGGCCAGAGCTGCGCCAATCCAAAGCCAGGAGCTGGGTGCTTCCTCCGTCTCCCATGTGGGTACAGGGACCCAAGCGCTTGGGCCTTCCTCCACTGTACTCCCAGGCTACAGCAGAGAGCTGGACTGGAAGAGGGGCAGCTGGAACTAGAACCCTGCACCCCGACCGGGACTGGAACCAGGGGTGCCGGCGCCACAGGCAGAGGATTAGCCTAGTGAGCCATGGCGCCGGCCAAGCTTTTGCTTTTTTAAAAAAGGATGTATTTATTTATTTCAGAATCAGAGAGAGAGAGAGAATTTCACCTGCTGGTTTGTTCCCCAAAGGGATGCAACAGCCGGGGCTGGCCAGGCAGAAGCCAGGAGCCAGGAGCTCCATCCGGGTTTCCCACAGGTGCAGGGGCCCCAGCACGGGGGCCATCACTGCTGCCCCCCCCCCCGGTGCCTGGGCAGGGGGCTGGATGGGAAGTGGGGCATCCAGGATGTAGACTGGCCTTCCAGCATGGGACACGGTGTTGCAAACAGCAGCTTACCCCGCTGCATCACACACCTGCCCTGAGGACACAGAAGTCTTAACTTGTGTCTCAACCGCCGGGCTGTGTGCACGTGCCTGGACTCAGTTTTCTTATCTGTGCAATGGGAGCTCACCGATGCACCCCCCCCCATGGCTGCACCCTAGCACGTGGCTGCTGAGGTCACCGTGGCCATTTCTTCGTGGCTGCAGGCATCACCGCCCTGGCGTGGAGCCCGGATGAGGAGCTGCTGGTGGTCGGCACCCAGGACGGCACTGTGGTCGTGTGGGACACGGAGGAGCAGCAAGTGGTGCACTTCCTAAGCGGACACTCGGGTGAGGCTTGCAGAGGGCGTCGGTGGCCAGGTCTCCTAGAGCCCGTCCACTGAGACCCTGGCTTTTGTGCCTGCGTCTGTCAGCTCGAGCTGCCAAAACAAAACAGAAAACGCATCTCCCCCGGCCCCACCAGCTCCCCACAGGCCGCCCCTGTAGCTCACCTTCTGCAAGGCAGCAACTCGGGCTGGGCTCAGCAGGGTGGTTCTTCTGACCCACTCCCCTGACAACAGCCTCGAGCCACCCCCGAGGGCAGAGCCTCCATGGCAAAGACCACAGCTTGGAAGTCCCCCTCTCTGCACGCTGCAGCCATAGGGAACACATTCCAGCCCTGGCCCGGACTTCTACGGGGACTGTTGACTGCTGGGTATCAGGCCCGGTTCCAGGAGCCAAAGACAGAGAACCCAGGGCCATGGGAGTAAAGTTCATTATTCATTGGTCCTATACCTATAAATTCTGTGCTTATATTCTTTGTCCAGTTAGTGAGTAGCTTATTTGTAATTTTCTTGTTTGTTCATAAGAACTCTTAGTTTATTAAGGAGAGTCTCCATTTGTGCTTTATCTGGTGCGAATATTTCCCCCAATCTGTCTTCCAACTGCATTTTTAAAAAAGATTTATTTATTTATTTGAAAGGCAGAGTTGCAGAGAGGCAGAGGCAGAGACAGAGAGAGGTCTTCCATCTGCTGGTTCACTCCCCAGTTTGCCACAACAGCCAGATCAAGGCCCATCCGAAGCCAGGAGCCAGGAGCTTCTTCCAGGTCTCCCACACAGGTGCAGGGGCCCAAGCACCTGGGCCATCTTCCACTGCTTTCCCAGGCCACAGCAGAGAGCTGGATGGGAAGTGGAGCAGTCGGGACTCGAACCAGCTCCCACAGGGGATGCCGGCGCTGCAGGCGGGGGCTTTACCCGCTATGCCACAGCACCGGCCCTGGTTTCATGATTTTTAAATTTTTTAAAATGTTTATTTATGTCCATGTATTTGAAAGGAAGAGGAACAGACAGACAGAGATGGAGACAGACAGACCACCACCCGTCACGCCCCAAATGCTCACAACAGCTGAGCCTGGGTCAGGAGTTCCATCCGGGCCTCCCACGTGGGTGATGGGGACGTCGCTCACTGCCTCCTGGGACGCGTTAGCAGGGAGCTGAGCAAAAGCAGAGCAGCGGGGTCGGGAACTGGTGCTGTGGGAAGAAGGGGCCAGATCAGCGCCCCCCACGCGGGCACCAGAAGCAGGAAAAAGAACAGGAATTCACAGCCCAGCTGAATCGATTCAAAGAAGACAAGCTCAGGGGTCCACCCGCGGCCTGAGCGGGTGGCAGAGGCCCAAGGCCCCGACCCCAGCAGCCCGGACCCTTTTACAGCTTAGATGGGCTGGGTGGGTGTGGGGGCCGTAGGCAGTGAGCTTCCTGGTACTGGTTCTTCAGGTTTGGCCGTCGGCTTCCAAACCTAGGGAGGAATGCAGGGCCGGGGGTGGGGGCGGCGAGGTGGGGGGAGGATGGGACTTGGGACAGAGCAGGGCTACCAGGAACCTAAAATGGCCCGGCTTGTGTCCCGGTTCCCTCGGGCGTCCCAAGTGGTGGCTTAGCCCACGGTGCCACGGCAGCCGGCTTCACATTTTTACGTGGTCCAGGTGGCCGGTTTTTCCCACTTAAATCTTCCACATTTTATGCTTTGCCTTCAAGATTGTAACAATTTTAGGCAAAAGGGGCCGGCTCTGTGGTGTAGCAGGTAAAGCCGCCGCCTGCAGTGCCAGCATCCCCTGTGGGCACTGGTTCGAGTCCCAGCTGCTCCACTTCCCATCTGGCTCTCTGCTGTGGCCTGGGAAAGCACTTAGAAGATGGCCCACGCCCTTGGGCCCCTGAACCCACCTGGGAGACCCAGAAGAAGCTCCTGGCTCCAGGCTTCAAATCAGCCCAGCTCCGGCCATTGTGGCCATCTGGGGAGGGACCCAGCAGATGGAAGACCTCTCTCTCTCTCTCTCTCTCTCTCTCTCTCTCTCTCTCTCTCTCTCTTTCTCTCTGTGTAACTCTGACTTTCAAGTAAATAAGTAAATCTTTTTTAAAAAAGAGTAAAAATTATAGGAAAAAATCCTGTAGTTTTTCTAGTATTTTACTGTTTCTACATGTTTATTGAACATACATATTCCTTGGATGTTGTAACTTTTTCTTTAAAAAAGATATATTGCCGGCACCGTGGCTCACTAGGCTAATCCTCCGCCTTGCGGCGCCAGCACACCGGGTTCTAGTCCCGGTCGGGGCGCCGTGTTCTGTCCCGGTTGCCCCTCTTCCAGGCCAGCTCTCTGCTGTGGCCAGGGAGTGCAGTGGAGGATGGCCCAGGTGCTTGGGCCCTGCACCCCATGGGAGACCAGGATAAGTACCTGGTCCTGCCATCGGATCAGCGCGGTGCGCCGGCCGCGGCGGCCATTGGAGGGTGAACCAACGGCAAAGAAAGACCTTTCTCTCTGTCTCTCTCACTGTCCACTCTGCCTGTCAAAAAAAAAAAATAATAAAAAAATTAAAAAAGATGTATTTATTTGTTTGAAAGGCAGAATTATAGAGAGGCAGAGGGAGAGGGAGAGAGAGGTCTTCCATCCACTGGTTCACTCCCCAAGTGGCTGCAACAGCCCTGGCTGAGCCAGGCCAAAGCCAGGAGCCAGGAGCTCCATCCGGGTCTCCCACGCAGGTGCAGGAGCCCAAGCACTCGGACCATCTTCCACTGCTTTCCCAGGCGCATTAGCAGGGAGCTGGATGGGAAGCAGAGCAGTCGGGACTCGAACCTGTGTCGGGCATCGCAGGTGGCTGCCTAACCCACAGCGCCACGATGCCGGCCCCACCTCCCGCTGTCTCCCTTGAAGATATTTGAACGCTGCCCTGGGTTCTGGGATGAGCGGCTGGCTTGGGGACAGGGACGGCTCGCCTACCCTGCCCACCGCCTGTCTCCGCAGGAGAGGTGAGGGGCTTGCGGGTGTTCTGCGCGGGCCGGAGCGCCGTGTCCGCCTCCAGCGACCGCACGCTGCGCCTGTGGGATCTGCGCCGTGGCTGGGAGAAGTCCACGTTTCAGGAGGGAAGCCCACCGGCCCCAGCACCCTGCGCCTGGAGCCTGCACGTGGACGAAGCCGGCGGGGTCCTGTACTCGGCCCCCGGCTCCCAGGTAGCAGCTGCCTGCTTGGCT